TCCGAAAGTCCCTCTAAATATTGGCAATTTTTATCGAATAAGGGTGGCACGAGGCTTGATCAAATCGCCAAGGGTGATCGGGTACTTACTGATCCAAGAGAAGTGGAGGAGGTGTTTAACGAGTATTTCCAAAGTGTGTTTTCAACGTCAGATCCTTTAAACGGGGCTGTTTGTGAAAATGGTGATTGTGGTGTCATTCAGATTTCTTTGGAAGGTGTCACAGAATTGCTTTTGCGATTGGATCCGAAAAAATCGACAGGCCCTGATGATATCCCTTCCGCATTTCTCAGACGCTGTGCTACACTGTTAGCCAGGTTCCTTGTAGTCATTTTGCAGAAATACGTTTTGTCTGGTGCGATACCTGATGATTGGCGTATTGCACGTGTGACTCCTGTGTATAAAAAGGGTAACCATCTCAATTTTTGTCCCATCTCTCTCACCCATCTCTCTCACCTGTCATTGTTGTAAACTGCTGGAACATATTATCGCAAAATACCTCAATAACTTTCTTCAATCCCAAAATATTCTCACTGAGCACCAACACGGTTTCCGACGAGGTCTTTCTACTACTACGCAGTTATTAACTACAATTAATGATTTTGCGAAGGCTCTAGATGCTGGTAGCCAGGTTGACGTGATCTTTTTTGACCTCTCGAAGGCGTTCGACAAAGTTCCCCATAAAAAATTAATAATTAAACTGAAGTCAATTGGCGTTCCTTCAGATATAACAAATTGGGTCACATCTTACCTACTAAACCGTAAACAATACGTAGAGATTGAGGGTTCGCGCTCGCATTTCTTAGACGTTTTTTCCGGAGTACTGCAGGGGTCCGTACTCGGTCCTGTTTTATTTAACATTTATATTAATGATTTGGCTCAAGCAAAAGATACCAGCGTATCAGTTAAACTGTTCGCAGACAACTGCATTCTTTTCAAAGTCATAAACTCAACGGCAGATCAACAAGTTTTAAACAGAAACATCGGTAACTTGGAAACTTTGTGTTCCGAGTGGAACATGGTAATTAATCTTGAAAAAACTGCTCACTTGTGTATCACCAACAAAATCAACAAGTTTCACTTTAAATATGATATAAAAGGGTCACAGATTACACAAGTTGAAGAATATAAATATTTGGGTGTTACAATTACCTCCAGCCTCAACTGGACAACCCATATAGTAAATACATGCTCTTCCGCACGTAAAAAACTAGGGTTTCTAAAGCACCGATTAGCTAATGCCCCCAGTTCCTTAAAGCTTACAAAACAATGGTAAGGCCTTCCTTGGAGTACGCCTCCGTAGTATGAGACCCTCACACAAAAAACAATATACAAAAGATAGAAAAATTCAGCGCCTGGCAGCCCGTTTTATTTACAGTAGGTATAGACGCCGCGATTCCCCCTCTGCGATGTTGCAGTTGGCAAATCTTGAACCTCTTGAAGACAGACGACGAGCTGCTCGACTTAACTTACTCCGTCTAATATATTTTTCTAAACTCGAAATAAAGCCAGAAAACTACATGGTAAAGGATTCTTCCAGGCCTTCCCGTCACAAACACAGCTGTAGCATCAAGCCAATTTTCACAAGAACTAATTTATACAAAAACTCTTTTTTCCTGAAATCAATCTCTTAGTGGAATTCGTTACCCCAAAACTCTACTCTTCTTTCCTTTTCACCATGAAATGCACCTTGTGTTTCCTGGCTTTCACAATACTTGTTTGATTTAACAATTTGTTGTGTGCCTAAGAGTGTGGTGCTTTGCTTATGGATTGTGTTGCAGTGGGTGTACTCAGCCCTCTGGAAACGAGTATAATTTGATGGTGATTGCTATGTTTTTCTTACATTTCTTGTATACCAGTATCAATTTTGTTGTAATTTTGTTGTACATTTAGTTTACCTTTGAACTTGCTGTACCTTTCCTGCTTGGACCTTAAATGGTTCGCAGTATATGATAAATAAATAAATAAATAAATAAATAAATAAATAAATAAATAAATAAATAAATAAATAAATGAAATACTGAGGCTCTGTGATGCAGGTGCCAAAATTATTTTTACGCAGGAGAGTATATGTGCACGTAGTGTATGTGCACGTAGATATGCCCCACACAGGCAGTAAAACAAGAAGGAAAAAATCGCATGCTCAACACAATCTGCACAAATGGAGTGCTTATTTCGTGTTACTCAGCGCAAATTATATGATCGTATGCCTACTGCAGAAACCGTGTACACATTGCTGCTAGAATACAGCACGCGTTGCTTTCAAATTCTGTGTTTGGGTTATCTTTGTGGTTCACAGTGCGAGAAAAATGAGAAAACCGCCCACGTAGAAGAACCAAATGTACGCAGCCGACTATGGTGCTCCGGGAAGTGAATCTAGGAAGTTAAAAAGGATGAGCAACTGCTTTTATGTTAGCTTTCTCTACATAAAATTGTCTAGGTCTACCCAGCGACATACTTTTTTCCTTTAGAGCTTTTCATATTGAGAAATAATGATAAAGAATTCTCTGTTTCTTTTGACAGCCCAAGCACTTAGTTAAGCACGTGCAGGTACGTCTGATCTGGGGCATCTCTATTTTACAATAATGTTCGTATTATAGTCCTTTTTCCATTAAATATTTGTGTAGGATTTCCATTCAGACCTTGTAAAAAAACTTGACTTCACTACATTTGCTTCCTTACGTGTTAAAACATTTTATTGGTGAGAATCAACATGTGCTGGAGATAAACGTACCGATCCCCGTCCACACAAGGAGATTTGGCGATTGTAATTTATGACCAGCTTGAAGAAAGCTTGCTCTCATGCGATAAGCATTTCCTTCTACAAAGTACTTGGGTTTCTACAGCTGATTGTGCAAAGAATAATAATAGCGAGGCATATATTGAAACTTGGAATTGATATCCGCTCAATCAAGGCGTCATCATTTTACGCAGAAAGATTCCAGATTGTGTTCTCCTGAACAGTACGCCCATGCTTATGCACGTACTATTAGGCGCTTCAAGCGAATGAAAGATTTCGTAGCTTAAGCTACCGTGAAGGCGCGAAGTATTTCCGTTTCACGCTAGCATGTCTGTTGCGTCCACAAAGCACTCAATGTGCGCCCCTTTCTGTGCCCCTATTGAAGCTATTTCTTGAGGAGACGGTATTTCAACTCTCGAAGCTGAATACGGGATAGAAACGCTGTTACGGCATGTAAAATCTTCAGTACTCTGGCAGCGATTCATCACACATTAACACGATGCAAAATGAAGGCGCCCAAAAACATCGCTGCATCAAATCACTGAATAGGCAACATTGCACCTACCCCTGAGTTTTCTACAATATTTAAATGAAAGGGCCCACTTTGCTTGAAGTACCGAAGCACTCATTGTTGGCGCTAAATGTCAAGACACTGTACTTCCCTTCAGCGCTTTCAGATGGTCATACCAGACAACGCCTATACCTAACCGAAGCGTTTCTATCAAAGCACATTGCGCATGTGTGCCGGTGATTCATTGGGCAGAGCGCTAAGCACCTGTTGTCGTGGACTAGGAGGTTGTGTGCCAAACTAGTTTTCCTGTGTCTTTTTGTCATATGTCTTATACCATTATCAATTTTAGGACGAAAAAAACGTCAGTGAAATTTAGTTAATCCCTTGCATTAAAAGAAAATTTCTGCTACTAAGTGTAGCCTTCGGCAGATGTTGGTGTGTTGACAGTAATAACCAGCTTTATCACTGCGTAGTAGGTTTTCAGAGGGTGTTTGGCCGACACAAGAGTGCGATGTGCCACTTTCACAAACCAGGCCAGGCAAATAGGCTGGGCTGATGAAGTAATCACGTCGCTGTTGCCAGGTACCTTGTTACAGTCACTTTAATCAATCGGCTTATATCTCACCATATTCGAATAATAATAGTAATAATAATAATAATAATAATAATAATTTGTTGGAGTTTAACGACCAGAAACCACACTGCAATTATGAGAGATGCTGTAGTGAAGTACTTCCAAAATTTAGACCACCTGGGATTCTTTAACATGCACGTAAATCTAAGCACACGGGACTCAAGCATTTTCGCCTCAATCGGATATGCAGCGGTCACGGACGGGATTTGATCCCACGACCTGCGAGTTGGCAGCCGAATGGCTTACCCACTATACCACCGCGGCGGGTGCACGAATATGTATGGTGTGTAGGCTATGCTAGGAGGATCTCCTGAATGTGCTGGTTACAGGAAAACAGGCCCCTTTCAACCACATAATTTACACCTCTCGCACCGTCCACCAGCTATCTTTCTACCGATATGTAGCGAAGCCTATAGTTCCTATCGTTTCGAATTTTCACATGGTCGAACTATAAAAGCTGCCTTTCACAGTCGCAATAGCTTACTTTTATGACCATTAAAATTACTTTTCGCAATTTTTTGTAACTTGTCTCTTTGAATCGAGGTATTAGTGGCATTTTTTTAAGGGGGGGGGGGGGCGATGTCCAGTGCGTTTCAACGATTCGAAACGCACAAAACAACACTTCAAAGGACGTTTGAACTGCAATAATGAACGTAAAATTTCTAGAATATTTTATTCAAGTTTTTCGGGGCCCCAGCTATAGAGGACGTAAAATTTCTGGAACCTTTTTAATGGTCACGTCTGTAAAAAAAACTGTATCGGTGTGCATCCCCTTGTTAGGGTTGTAATGTGTGTTCCAGCAACAGTGGCTTCCAGCCACCATGTAGTCCATCTAGGGAACACCGTACGTAATACTTATTATGCATTGGGGCTACTGACGTCAGCCGTACAATGTCGCTATAATCTAATACTTCGTGTTCAAGAGATTGCACATCACAAGTCCAAGAAAGGACTCAAATACAAGTTAGGCAAAAATATTTCTTTTCGTTTGACTCATTAGCAATTCTGTAAATTTCGTCTAGCGCTTGCACATTTGACTGTTTCATTCGGTAAGTTGTCTGTGAGCATTTCTGAACTGCCATTTTTCTTGTTATTTTTCAAACGAAAGCGTCACGAGAACCAAGAGTCAATTGCGTTTGATCAAGCATCGTCCCTGCGTCATCGTCTGAGCCACGTCTTCATGCCGTCTAGCCAAAGGTATCAAGAATAGCTTGTGCATACTTATTTTACCTATGATATTTAACGTCTTCCGGACGACAGTCGGCAAGTCGTTACGTGATGACTATTAAATTGCGCATCCTATTTATATCTGATGTTGCAAATAGCTATTATTCTAGGTCGCATAAATTTTGAGTTATTTCTGGAGTAATTGTTTCACAACTGGTAACAAATATACTCGATCTCTTCCTAATAGATTAGTGGCAGGTTTTGAACATCATTAATGCTGTTAAATTTAAAATTCTGACCATGGTACTCTAGAGATACAGACTTCTGAAGTGGAACTAACAAAATCAAAGAACATACCAAACAGCTTTTAACCTCGAAATTGTATTTTAATGCTGGTTACTTAGTTATTCTCAGAATGTACATTAGCTGACTGCGACCGACCTATGTATACTGCAGTTAAATTATCACTGTGAATCTAGCTAAACAATGGCTGGTCTTCGCAAGCATACAGCCTGCCATGTAATCGATTGACAGCTAGACGTTGGTGTTATCAATCAGGGTGTATAAAAGACCATCCCGACTCCTTTCCTTTCACTCTCTTCAGCCCGCCAGCATGACCAAGTGCGCTTTTTATGCTGATCCTCATTCTTCGAATGTGGTTTCCTTACTCGCGTGGCCACCTTTGGTATGTTATGTGAATATTGCTATAGCAAACCGTGCATCATAATTTATGTTTATGTGCTAGCTAGCAAATTGCCTGTGAAAAGGTGAACATGTCGTCGGAAATCCTGCAAGATGTGCTTTTATGAACCTGCCTGTACGAGTGTTTGAACCCATACTAATTTTATATGATATATATGACTAAATAAAGCAATCTAGGAGTGCTTAAAGGCTTGGTATCCTATAAAACATAATTCCGCCACGTCCGACTCTCTAACCTTGGTGTACAAAAAATTTAGACACCTTCACACTAGGCGTGCATGAGTGAGGAAAGGGTCGAGCTGGGCAGCTTTTTCTGCAACACTTCGGCTTCCTTTCGTAAAAAGTCTATTTGCCTAAAAGGCTTTTAAGTGCCTGTGTGATAGGGTTATTGTATCAATGTACATCATCATCATCATCATCATCATCAGCCTGACTACATCCACTGTAGGACAAAGGCCTCTCCCATGTTCCGCCAGCCAACTCGGTCCTGTGCTTCCTGCTGCCAATTTATAAACGCAAACTTCTTATTCTCATCTCCCCATCTAACCCTCTGTCTCCCCCTTACCCGCTTGCCTTCTCTAGGAATCTACTTAATTACCTTTATTGACCAGCGGTTATTCTCTCTACGTGCTACATATCCGGCCTATGTCTATTTCCTCTTCTTGATTTCAAATATGATATCCTTAACCCCGGTTTGTTTTCTAATCCACTCTGCTCACTTCTTGTCTCTTAAGGTTACGACTATTATGTTCCTTTCCATTGCACGCTATGTCGTCCTCAATTTAAGCTAAACCCTCTTTGTAAGTCTTCAGGTTTCTGCTCCATAGCTAAGTGCCGGCAAGATGCAGCTGTTGTATACCTTCCTCCTGAAGGATAGTGGCAATGTACCTGTCATGATATGAGAGTGCTTGCCAAATGTGCTCCACCCCATTTTTATTCTTCTAGTTACTTCAGTCTGGTGGCTCGCCGCGGCAGGTATTACCTGTCCTAAATAGACATAGTCTTTTACAACTTCAAGTGCGCTATCACATATCTCGAAGCACTGTTCTCTTCCGAGGTTGTTGTATATTACTTTTATTTTCTGCAGATGAATTTTAAGACCTACTTTCCTGCTCTCCTTGTCTAACTCCGTAATCCTGAGTTGCAATTCGCCCCCGAGTTAGTCAGCAATGCAATCTCATCAGCGAAGCGCAGGTCACTAAGGTACTGTCCATTAACTCTTATGCATAACTTTTCCCATTCTAGGTCTCTGAAAACCTCTTGTAAGCACGCGGTAAATACCATTGGAGGATTGTATCCCCCTGCCTTACACCCTTCTTGATTGGTATTTTGTTGCTTTCTTTATTAAGCACTATGGTATCACTTGATCCCCTGTAGATTTCTTCAAGGATGTTTATATATGCTTCGTCGACGCCTTCATTATGCAGTGTCTGCATGACTGGGATATTTCTACAGACCCAAACGCCTTCTCGTGATCTATGAAGGCTATGTATAGTCGTTGGCTATATTCTGAGCATTTCTCTATTACCTGATTGATAATATGAATGTGGTCGATTGTTGAGGAGTCCATCTATATCCTGCTTTTTTCTGTGGTTGATTCAATTTTAATGTCTTAACTCTGTTAGCAACTACCTTTGTAAATAGCTTGTATACTACGAAGAGCAAGCTGATTGGCCTGCAATTCTTCAAGTCCTTGTCATCTCCTTTCTTAGGCATGAGGATGATGTTAGCATTCTTCCGATACTTTGGTACTCTTCCCGTCAGGAGACGCCTCGTATACAGGGTCGCTAGGTTTTCAAACAATCAATCAATGTACAGTCACCATTCAAATACATATGTAAGGACACGTTTCACTATCGTGTTACACCGACTTTTAATAGCGAGAGATCAACCATGTGCTTTTTTTTCCTTTACCCTCTTTATCGTCTCCTCTTGTATTTTCTTGTCTCTTAACTCCTAATAAATATTTGCTCCCCCTTCTTCTTCTCTTTGTTTTTCTCGCTGTTTCTACTTTTTTATTTTCCCCTTTCTCTTTCTCTTTGTTTCGCTCTTGCTTCCTCTCTTTTTGTTTTATACGTGGCATTGCCTGCGTTATACCAAGCTCGGGCAACTTTCTTTTTTGCCGTTGATACTAAGTTCCCGTCATGAAGCTGCGCTAAGAACAAAAGAAAGGAGACTTCTTGGCACCACTGTGCTCTGAGTTTACATCATCAAGGGAATCAAAGACAAAAAAATACTTCCTGGAAGGGGAGGGGGTGCTCAATATACAACGCAAAGAGTGTTACGCTAAGCAATGACAATAGCACATTACACCATACGAAAGCCCAGCCCCCTAAAGCGTCTCGGAATTAAAATGTAGTAGTAGTCTACAATAATCCCAATGGGCGTGTGCTACAGAAAGTGGACAAGGTCCACTACTTACTTGCAAAGAGCACTGCTATGTAAGCAACATAGCAGAGCTGGAAGAAGGCAAATGCATCGCAAGAGGGAACGCATAGCATAAGCCAAGTATATTGCCACGTTCCATTTCCCAAGTTTTTGTTATCGTTCCGAAACACCACAAGATTCTCGGCGCAAACTGCGCCTGCAGGTTTCGAGAAGGTTCCGGACTGTAGTAGATCATTTCGATAAGATCACGCCCACTGTGCGAACGGTACAGATTGTTCTGGAACCTACGCCACCGCCAGCGATAACGCTAGAACATTCGACGGCAAGGGTATAAATGCCGACGCGCTTCGCCGCTTGTGGGTTGTTGATCGAAGGCCGACGCTGCGTTCGCCGTTATCAGTCCGAGACTGCTATCTGTGCAAGACTGCTGCTGTAATTAGACTTTCCCTTTACCGGGCACAGGTTCGCCCAAATAAACAGTTAAATCCCAACACAAAGTTTCCTGTCTTTGGCCACGTCACGACCCCGTGACATCTGGTGGAGGTGCTGCTTCGTTCATGTACCGGACGCCCCCGTCAAGCCGTGAACCCAGCCCCCGTCGCGGAGAAGACACCGACGCGAACCAAGAGCAGCGAACGAGCCGCCGACAGCAAGGTCTCCCACCGGAGTACGGCCTTCTACAAGACAAGGCGCGGAAGACCAAGACCATGACCTCGACTGCAGCGACAATGACAACCGGAGCGTCCCAGCCCGCGATCGTCATTCATCAACCCAGGGAACCACCAATGTTCCATGGCTCATCGTTTGAAGACCCGGAAACCTGGCTAGAAACATACGACCGTGTGGCCGCCCTCAACCACTGGGACAACGAAGAAAAGCTCCGTCGTGTGTACTTCTACCTGAAAGACACCGCAAGGACCTGGCTAGAGAATCGGGAGTTTACGCTCCGAACGTGGGATGTCTTCTGCGGCGCATTTCTGCAAACGTTCGCAAGCGTCGCTCGCAAAGAGAGGGCCGCTGCTCTACTCGAGACCCGGGTTCAGCTACCAAATGAAAAAATTGGAATTTTCACTGAGGAGATGACCCGCCTATTCCATCACGCTGACCCAGACATGCCTGAGGGAAAGAAAGTTCGTTTCCTCATGCGAGGGGTCAAACAGGAGCTCTTCGCGGGACTAATGAGGAATCCACCGAACACCGTCCAAGAATTGTATCCGAGGCGACCACCATCGAAAAAACGCTGGACATGCGCACCAGACAGTATAATCGTCGCCTGACTCCAGAATGCGCTGCTGCTCAAGCCAGTGACTCCGACGACCTGCGTGAAACGATCCGAGCGATCGTGCGGGAAGAGCTGCGCAAACTGTTGCCTTCGGCGCAGCCTCAAGTGGATTCGATCGCCGACATTGTGCGAGAAGAAGTCCGGCAATCGCTTCGAATTCCCGAAACACCGCCGCCCGAGCCAGAAACTATGAGCTACGCCGCTGCAGTGCGCCACAACGCTCCTCCCCGTCCGCGCCGAAACGCCGCCCCGTCGCACTTCCATCGCCAGACACCACCGCCGCCACCACCCCCACCGACGACCTACCGTTCGCCAGCGGGCCAGCGCAGTGCGCCGAGGAAAACCGACGTTTGGCGTGCACCTGACAACGGCCCACTCTGCTACCACTGCGGCGAGGCCGGGCACACATACCGCCGTTGCCAGTACCGACAGATGGGACTGCGTGGATTCGCTGTCAATGCACCGCGTCCGCAGCCAGAAGATCGGCCACGTGACATCGCTGACTACCTGGCAGGAACTCAATGGACACCACGAAGTCCTTCCCGTTCGCCGTCGCCCAGCCGCCGCATGTCACCGCACCCCCGGCAGTACTCTGGCCCAACGCGGGGCCAGAGTATCCGGGAAACTAAGGGCAGCAACCGATGGAGGTGCGGTTGCT